CACCGAACAGTGGCACTGCCTGAATCTCGGAGAAATATCCCAGCCGGTCGCAAACGTAACTTGATTGGACGAATTATTAAGCGTCAGGTAAAAGTGGGCGTGCGAACCGACCCCGAATTCTGATGGCCATGGAAAGCCAAGGAAATGGAAGGGGCCCGTAAAGCCGGTAATGCCCGAACATTATATCGGTTAATCCGCGCGTCATGTCCCCGGAAACCTATAGGCGAAACCGAAAATGATCAGAATGGAGTAACCATCTTGAATAAAGGACACCTCGACAACAACAACTATTGTGGCAACTAGCTGCCACTCATCTGGAGCCCACAGTCGACGTAGAACCCTGGACGGTGAACGTAGAATCACCTATGGCCTCGGCGGTTTATGACTGCTCATGTTCTCTCAAGCGCCACGAAGCCCCCTGGTCCGAATGACCTCCCATCCGAATTGTTCAAAGATGAGGGTGAAATCCCCGGCTCTTGTCTGGTCTGTTTTCTTGTACTTGGGAAGAGAAGGCTGTCGCAGACGATTGGGTAGAGTCGGTGGTAGTGCTCATTTTCAAGAAAGGGGCTCTTAATGAGTGTGGTAATCACAGGGAGATCAGATTAAACCCAGTTGTGACGAGACTGCTGGTATCACTTGTACTTCGTTCCCTCATGGTGTTGAACACTGATGTCGTGCTGTCGATGATGATGATGATGACGATGACGATGAAGCATAAGGCTAGGGTTCGAGGCCACCCAGTCTTGCAGTAGCACTTTGCAGGTATGAAGCGCATGCCGAACCGTGAAATTAGTTTAGTTAGATTATTTATATTGTTTGAATTACTACGGGGTCAGATCCAAGAAGAGCTATGTCGTCTGCGCACTCGTTATCTCGGTAGACCTCTTTGCAGGTATGAAGCGCATGCCGAACCGTGAGCTGAAATTAGTTAGATTATTTATATTGTTTGAATTACTACGGGGTCAGATCCAAGAAGAGCTATGTCGTCTGCGCACTCGTTATCTGTTAGCGGTAGACCCAGGGAGCACTTCGACCCCACAGACATTAGAGGCTGATAGTGAGTCTTCCATAACCGTATGAATGATTCGTGACCTCAGAAGACAGCTTCCCGCAGAACCTCACGCGACCGCGGAAGTTGATGTACAGCTGCTTAAGGAGGATCAAGACCTCATGGGGGACACGTTTGCTCCACAGATACTGCCATAGTGGCTGACGGCAGTAAAGCATCGGTGTTGAACACTGATGTCGTGCTGTCGATGATGATGTTGAAGATATTGGGTCAAGGACGGCTTTAAGATCAAGAAACACAACCACTATTCGTTACTGGAAGCAACGTCGCTGTTCCAGAATTTGTTGTAAGGTGAAGATATGATCGATGCAACTTCTTGCAGGACAGGACCCAGCTTGGTTTTCACGGATCTGTCTCTCTCTGTATTCAGCCACCCTTCGAAGGATAAGGTCAGAGAGGACCTTCGGTATCACAGCTACCAGGCTGATGTCACAGTCGTTTCCATACAGCGTCCGCGTACTATATATGAACATAGGGTTAACTGTCGACATGCCCCATTTTGCAGACACCTTCTCTTCGTTCAATATAGCACCCATAAATTCCGTCAGATGGGTTACCAGGGATTCTCCGTCTCCTTTGAAAAGAACTGGATAGAGACCGTCCAATCCTGGGGCCTTCTCACCTTTCATCACTTTCTTACTGAAAAGTACTTTCAGTACCTTTCATACTTAACTTCCTCCGACGGGTCTTCAAGGTTTACATTCCATGCACCCGTATGCAGTATCTCTACAGGATGTATTGCAGGAGGCCGGCTGAACTGTTCTTTTAAGTGTTCGGCCCATCTTTCCAGTCAACGTTTCTGCTAGTGAATCAATGAACCATCTTCTTCACTGACCACCGTTCACTAGGGCCGGCAGATCGTATCAGTTGATGTAGGACACGGCTGTTTCCGGTAGCAAAAGCCTTCTTCATCTTCTGAGCTTTCAATGTCCACCATAGCCCTCTAGCTTTCCCTAGACTCCTCAGTATTTGGCGTTTGAAAGAGTAGCGCACTGTCGTACTCGTTGCCAGCTGGTATGGATTTCCTGGCATCAGTCATGGAAAACGATCCCGATGGTCTTGTAGATGAACTAGAGAAGTCGGTCACACAGTAGTGAACACCGCTAGCATAGCTGATTTCATATTTTGCCACGCTTCATCCACATGCTCACTGCCACCACAGTTTTGGTTTACTGTGGAGAGTTGTTGGGCTAGCTCAGATGAATACTGGTGAGCTATGGTAGTTTTCGAAGATGCTGGATCGGCATGCTTCTTGCTAACGAGGGTCTGGAGGCATGCACTAACCAAGGCGTCATCAGAATCAAGTGGTGTGCTCCAACCGGAACGGCGATCTTGAATTCTGGCTATCCACCGGTGGCTCATATCCACGTGGTCCAACTGGGTCCACGGCTTGTTTTGCATGGGGCACTCGTACATCCAAGCTATTGCCTTCAATGCATAGCTCCCTTCCCAACCCCCCACTTGACAGCCAATCGACAGTGCCGGATTTATGCACCAATTTATAATCTCCCGCCTGAAATGCGCAGCTACCTACCCTCCCCACACACGAAACTGCGGCAGCTACAACCACTGTACGACCAGTACGCGATTATTACAGCTGACAATGATAATGATGATGACTGCATTTGGTGGCCGCCAGGTTACGCAATGCGAACGTTCATGTTGAAAAATCGTACTTGCCAGAAACAGTTCATGATCAGCACACGACTCAAGGATTCAATCTCCGTTGTCTGTGTGGCGAGCATCGACTCCAAATCGGCCGCCCGAATGTGATTCAAAGGAGCTCAGACGACCTACTTGAGCATTCATTTCGCCTGCAAAAATCACAATGTCAGTGCTTCTTGCTTGACGAATGGACCCGGGTCTCTCAATAGAAAGTATCCTTATCAGCATCAGAACTGCAGTCCATTGGTGCATAACCGACACTACAAACGGGCACCGTTTCTTATGGCGAGACAGTGAGCTTGATTGAGCTGGATAACCGGACGGCGCAGGCATGGCTGTTCACTGAGGTCCAATCCAGCAAAGCGCGTTCAGCCTGAGGCTGAGTGCAACTTCCACGCCATATGTTCCACGAGTCATGGCTTCTGGGTCACCGGACACACGGAGGAGGGAACGTGGAAGAGCTGAGTTCATTCTTGGCATTCTGAGATGCATAACCACGCTTGAGTCTTGCATGCGTATTTCAAAGAAAGCGTACATCAATTTTAAGGGAGTTTAAGGTTTCAGCAGGTATTACCTGTTCTCAAATTTGACATAAAATACGGACGTTGATAGTGCCTATGTAGAAAAGTTCTCGTGGATGTAGAAAGGTGTTATTTTGTGTATCGTTAATAGGCAATGAGGAGCAGAAGGCCCTTCGGATAACTGACAGTCAAATGACGCAGCAACGTTAGCTTGCGTGGTAGGAAGGGTTGGGGAGGGACACAGAGCTGTGCGGGCAAGTGATGCTTCCCGGTTGCCCAGCTGAGGAAGGGGGTTTGGTTGAGGTACCCTACCTTGAGATTTTGACCCAAAAGTATGAGCCACAAGACTGGGAGGACGTAGGGTTTCGTTCGGGGACCCTGCCCCTGGCCTCTGACTGAAAAGTCTGATCAACGAGGCAGCGGGCATTAGGGCTTTGTTTGGGAACCCTACCTTAAATTCCGGGCACCCCTACAGCGGTTCTGCTCTTGAGACCCATCAGATAAGCCTGATCTTCGAATTTCAACCAATCTTATTGTGCATTTGAACGCTCACTTGTACGTATATCGTTATAAATTTATTAATTACGCTGTTTGGCGTGAATTAGCATTTGCAGTGTTTGCGCCGTTTTTGTACCGTGACTGATTTCGGCGGGCGGTTGGATCTGTTTTTGTCAGTCAGTTTCTCGTATGTCATTTATTACTTGGACCTTATTTCATCCCATATTCCTCATGGTGCACTGGAATAAAATAGAGGCTGTTCTCAGAATGCCATTTAGAATTGGTTCCCACTGGCAGTTCACGGTGTTCGTTAATTCAACGCTATTTTTGTTAACACTCTTTACATCTGGACTGGTTTGTATATGTCCTATTGGAAAGCTTGTTTTCATGAATTTTATCATGTGCTCATGATGATGTGCATTATGATGTCTTGTGCGGCTCATTGGGTCATATGCTACGGGGGTGACACAATTCGCGCCGTCTTCCAATCTATGATAATGCCATACGGTTCATAGCAAACTCTTAAATTTGAGTGTTAGTCTCTTACTCAAGCCAATACGATGCAACCTGAACAAGGAATTAGTGAAAAAAGCCATCAACTGTATTTCAGAATCGTATCGCCGTTCATCGGCTTGGAGTTCCTAAAAGGGAGCTCCTGACATTGGGGCTTGTGCCTTCTCGTGATTCTACGTTGTTTTGGATGATCCCACATCCGTTTATTACGATAACAGGGAGAACGACGCATTAGTTCCATTATTCTAGCGTTGTGTAACAGTGATGGTCATATGCTACGGGGGTGACACAATTCGCGCCGTCTTCCAATCTATGATAATGCCATACGGTTCATAGCAAACTCTTAAATTTGAGTGTTAGTCTCTTACTCAAGCCAATACGATGCAAGCTGAACAAGGAATTAGTGAAAAAAGCCATCAACTATATTTCACAATCGTATTGCCGTTCATCGGCTTGGAGTTCCTAGAAGGGAGCTCCTGACATTGGGGCTTGTGTCTTCTCGTGATTCTACGTTGTTTTAGATGATCCCAAATCCGTTTATTACGATAACAAGGAGAAGAACGACGCATTAGTTCCATTATTCTAGCGTTGTGATAACAGTGATAATAAAATCATCCAACCAAACCTTTTCCAATTGATTGAAAACCATCCAACCGTTTCTAGTTTTCCCTCTCTTGTCCTGTAATTCCGACTCCTACCTGATGCAACCTCTTCACTCTCTTGGTTTTCTTCAGACTAAAAGCATCCCATGTGGAGCCGATTCTATGGAAAATGGTGGCGTCACTTCGTCACAGAAGTCCAATATTCCACGCCATCTTAGCACAACCAAAAAGCCTTACAGTACTCATGAATCAGGCCCGTTGCCGCCTGTTTCTTTCAACCAATCAGATAACGTCAATCATTTGAATTGCAATCACAAGGAGGAACCTAGGTCACACGACGCAGATTTTGTTGGTGCCAACAACTTTCTTTCCGGGACGTTTTTGAACGAAACTGTTCCCCAGATCCCGTATAATGTGGATCCAAATGGAGGTGCTAGTGAATCCGGTGTCGGGGAAGCTGGCAGTAGCGGTGGTAATGAAAGTTTTACCACCTTTTCTCCGTCTGGAAGTTCTGAGGTGACTCGGAGACGTTCCCGTCGAGGAGCTGTCAGTGGAGAGGTTTATACAGAGGAGGATGCCGCTTCTTATGTAAAGAAGGTATTGTGTTTGAAATATGTAGGAGTTTATACTCCTGCAATTTTTCGGTCATTTTGTCTTGTTACTCACTACTCGGATTTACAGTGGTTGTACAGGTATATAATTCCCATTATATGTTTTTGATCAATACGTCTGAACACAAGCGTTGTATCGCTAAGCACTAAGGACAGCACATTCAAGGTGTTAATTCTGCCTGTGCTGCATGAAGATCAGATTATAAGTTCAGTGGCAGTCGGTACCTCATAGCCTTATTTTTGGGTAAGCCTGTGAGCAACGGGTTATCCAATCGCTGATTGTTTGGCTGGCGCTGATCCATGACAATTGCATGCACTGATTAGTCTTCGAAAGAAAAAAGTTAGTCCTTTCAACCATTCGTACTATTTTCCATTCCTGTGACGTTTACGGGCGAATAAGCGTGCACCGATAGCAGGATTAAAGACAGAACTGCCATATTCTAGCTTGGAGCTTATGGTCAGTGGTTTGAATCGCCTATGGAGTTACCATCCTCTTATTAGGAGATATCGAGGCTCCGGATTCGACGGTACTACCGATGTTTGCTGCGTTTATTATGCTGTGGTACACTAAACAACTGTTAGCATCACTCAGTTTCATCCCGAATCCATCCGCCTATTTCATAGGCATTGTCGAGAGTGAAATTTTTGAACATTTCTACTGTTAAACGCGGAATCATAAGATGATATATCTGTGAGGTTAGAACAAGCAATCTAGCCGACAGCTTTGTCATTTTGTTAATCAACACAACAGCGTTTCACCAATCACGCTGTTGACCTTGTCATCGTCAGGTCATTGTTGTGTTCAGCTATTGATTATGCGACGTCGTTTATCTGGTTGGACGTCTGAGCAATAACCACTGATCTCATTATTATGGTGTTACGCCTGTTTACCTAAGGACACATCACACCTAAGAATTCGAGTATAATTCCGAACGGTGTCTACCATACACACCTCTAATGTTGATTGAGTGGAAATCTGGCGGACCACGTAATCCGTCAGTCATATCACCATAGAAGTGACAATTTTAGACGATGTTTCTAACACATTTCAATCTGTGAAACTGAAAGTTCACTGGAACATTTGAACTAGTAGTCCTTGTCCAGTACTGCTGGGATGTTTCGATTTCCACAGTTGTCATACCAAACTGAGTACCAACTCTGTGTGGAAGGGAACTTCAGTTGAAAGAAATTCCGCCAGTCAGACTGGTAATAGGATTGAAATGGAGTCTTCTCTCTGTATCACCCTTTCGGTACCTAGCTGCCACCCCACTTGAGGGAAGCATGTGGGGCAAGATACTGCTCAGTTGCCCAAGTCTAGACAGAAGCAGTGAAGGAGGAGGAGGAGGAGGTAGCTTCCGACCGCGGATCTTCTGGTGAGTAAGTTCACATCTTAACCACTGAGCCATCTCGAGTGATCGTGGTGCACCACATCAATTGGTATCAGGCAAGGCTGTTTTTCTTCACTTTGCCTTTTCCAATTCGTGTGACTATGGAAGATTCACTTCCAGGCTCTAATGCCAGCGGGGTCGGAATGCTCCCAGAGCATTCACTCACAGATGGCGAGTACGCAGACGACAGGTACCATGGTAATGCAGGCAACACTAAGTAATGTAACTAATCCTGTCTCACTGTTTAGCATGCGCTTCACACCTGCAAAGTATACAGTGCTGCTGCAAGACTGGGTGGGCTAGAACCCTAACCTCGTGATTGCGGATGAGATGGCTGATACAGTAAGTAAATTTGACTACCTTGGGCGTCTGTATCAGTCGCAGTGCTCCGGTCAAAAATGATGTTTTCATTCGGGTTGGGAAGACCGGAGCAGCGTTCGTGAACCTGCATCACTTGTGACGTGGTCGTGACGTCAACCTGTCCGTCAAGGGTCGAGTTTACAATGCTGCGGTGTTATATGGGTCAGAAGCCTGTCCGCTACAAGCTGAGAACGTCAAAAGACTTTCAGTGTTTGACAGTCAGTGTCATCACATTTACTGAATCTTGTGGGTAATGCTGAAGTATGTGGAATGGTTTACGGAAAATGCAACTCGTCCATGATAGATGAACTGACCACATCCCATAGGTAACCTTGGCTTGGTCACGTTCTCCGTATGCCAGTCGACCGAAGAACCCTTTTTGCACAATCTTGCGAGACGTGGAAAAGAGCCAGAGGAAGTCAGGAAATGACTTAGTAGCGAAGTGTAAAAGCCATTACCAGGAAACTCAGTTGCAGTGACCCTGAATAGGGACCCGGATATGGGACACATCAATGGTTAGAGACATTGTCAGACGTGGCCCAGTCGCACCCTCAATGGCGCTTGTGCATCGAAGCTGTTTCTTTCAATACACACCTCCTCTCCCAGTCTCCGAACGAAAAGTCCACTGACAACCCTGTATTGACACATCAATCTGTATTGCAAGTTCGCGCTTTTTACAGCTGGTGATGATTGTTGGTGTTGCTTGAGCGTGTTTTCTATGCTGACTGCGCATTTGTGGTCAATCCGCATACAGTTGATCGGACGGGATTCTCTGATCTAAGGTGTTATTTTGTTTTTCCTCAATTTCCATTCCCTCAACTACCTAACAACAGTTTCATACCAGCGCAGACTCTCTGGTGATTTCCTCGGTTTTCCTTAACTTTAAACTGTGAACTTATTTGGAATAGTAAGCACGACAGCTCGGGATTGTCAGTACTTCTAGTCGGTCACCTCGCTATCACAATCTGACAATTAATAAATGACAGCCTTTTTCGTAATGTTGATCAATATCGTTTTCTTCGTGCAAGTTCAGATTCCCAATCGTCGGAAAACATCAGGAATGTTTTTCCTGTATACCATTCACGTACTCTTGACTTCACTAGTGTCATGCTGATCGATATCGTAACTCGAGTTGTTGTACAATCAACTTCAATCCTATTTCGTACTCGTCTCCAAAGTTCCTTCACAACCGCGGAGGTTTTCAAACTATGGTGTCGCTGCCAATATCGTAACTCGAGTTGTTGTACAATCAATTTTAATCCTATTTCGTATTCGCCTCCAAAGTTCCTCTACAACCGCGGAGGTTTTCAAACTATGGTATCGCTGCCGTCCGGTCATACGAAAGTAGGAAGTTATGATAGAGTAAACAGCTTAAAAGACCAATGAGCTGCCTAACTGGAGTGAGATGGGCCAAGTGGTTACAGCGCGAATTTACTGACCGGAATGTCTGTGGTTCGAATCTGACCTCTGCCTCTCGAATTCCCCTGTCTAAGCTTGGGTGATCTGGCATTATCCCATCACTCGTGCTTCCTTCGTGTGGCATGGTATCTAGACACCGAAAGGGTGTTACAGCTGAACGATTAACTGGAGCAAAGCAAAATGCATACACTGAAGTTAGACATCGCGTGCATTCAAGTGGGCTGTTCAGGTTCTCGTATTAAGCGGTAACGCACTTCTTTCGTAGTCTCATTTCGTACGTAGCAGTAGCTGAAGGTTCATGAAAAGATGTAACTCCGCACTGTATGTTGATGTAGGTACTAGCAGTTGTTTCAGATCCTACAATCTTTTGAGGTTCAACATTCTTGGCTTCCATGACAAAGTCTTCCTCATTGAATCACTACGAACTAACTGGATTGTATAACGAATGAATAGCTTGTCTTACCGACGTAATCACCTCCCAAACACCACTGCCTGTTAACCAGAACAGTAGTTTGTTGCTCTTACCTCTTGAGTTTCGTGTGCGGTAAATTGCCATTTTCACACCAGTGGTCAGTGTAGCCCACAGCTAGGTCAGAACTCGGGTTTCTGAGTAAAATTCACATGGCAGTCTCAGGATTCCAGCTACTTTGTTATCAATTGGCATGGGCAGAGCGAAGGCCGTGTGGGATCGTCGAGTATTTCGGAAGCTAGACGATAACAACTATCCAGTCCAATGTCGACCGCACCTACGAGGGTCAGATTTGTTTTGGCTACCAATGTACATTTTTAAACACGATCGTTTTGTGAAGTCAATGCTACATTATTGTTTCTAACCGACACTGTTGTGTGTCAACCGATCAACGGTTCCTAGTAAAATTCGGATGATCTACAGAAACTCTGTTTTCCGAATATTTTGCAGAGCTCAGAACAGTTGGCAATCAGATTTTAGAAGGTGCAAGTGTTTTAGATTCCCAGTTTAGCTAAAAATTAACGTCGACGTTCTGATGCTGACTGGGATGCATGAACTGGTTAGCAACGCTGATAGAAGTGACCCAGTCACAGCCAAAAGTACTCCGGTGACAAAGCTACCACCTGTAACACATATGTAACATACTGGTCATTCGAGCAGAGGAGCGGAACAACTGATGAGAACGTATCTGGAATATTCGGAATATTCGTTGCCTGTTCAGTGGTTGTTGGTTTGTTCACCGAGCTTGGCAATTAACTTGCAAACGTTTTGTCACCGAATGAGAGTACACAGTTAGTGCGCAGTTGGGTTGCGCCTAAGCTCTCACAAGCTCCGGGTACCAGCAATCGTCTCTGATGACCGATTTCGCACTTTTGCACATATAGTTATTAATAATATTTCGGAGCGCCACCATCTATTGTTGACCAGCTCATCTCCACATGTCACACGTCTTATGTTTCCTGAGGTAAAACATTTTAAGATAAAAAGACAAGTTTACCACACCGACGTGATAAAAAACGTTTGTTTACAGAATTGTTTATTCTAGTGGCGGTATAAACCATACGTTTGTGACAGTTGTTTGGCGGACTTGAGTCCAAGAGCGCTCAGAATTAGTGTCACGGGTCACTAAACGGAGCAATAATCTATTTTTGTTTTTTGGATTGCTCCTGTATAGGATTGGGCAAGCTTCATGTTTCCTCCGGGCTGCGTGACTACAGCGCGTCGACACTGTAGCACGATTGAGCGGTTATGATCAATAGTGGAACGCCAGTTTACGCTTTCGGTTTCTCGAGTTTTCATATGCTTACTCGGGTCAAGCTCAGCGTGGCTCTAGTGACCGAGTAATTTTGATATGTTTTGCCCTAAAATGATAATCCTGACAGGTAGTTCGTTTATGCTGATTGCTTATCTTTCCATAGGTTTCATCGATCGTGTTGAACCTTATAACATCCCTACCGTATATAGGTATCTTCATTTTTTATGTGTAAATGAAGCATATTCTACTTCGATTTCAGTTGTCTCTGTACCATCAAAGCGTTTTTATTCCCTCTTTCCCCTAATTTAGGTGGTACCAAAAGATTATAAGACAATGACCGCTCTATCAAAAGCTATCGCAAAAAATGTTCTGTTCTCACACCTGGATGAAACAGAACGCAGGTATGTTGCGTTATTTGCTGTTATTGACCCACTTTGGTTGGATATCTCATCAAAGCAACACTCCAGGTCAACGCGGCGTTGCCTTGGTGATTACCTCGGTTCTGATAATCAGATAAGGGTACAATAGTCAAGCTGAGTTAATCCGTACATCTAATGTCCTATTTTGATATCTGTTGTGGGAGACGAACCTTATGGTTGTACGTAAGTGAAGCATCAGTGTCAACACTGATGTTGCTGTGTTCAATGATGATGATGATCTGTTGTAGGGTTTGCGGGATATGTGCTGTTCAAAGTCACATTACTCTCGTTTAAGCAGTCGTCATCCTGTCCAGGCTTAAGTATTCTGGTCAGTCTACACTAAAGGGGAGGAGCACTGGACTCGAGTTTCGCTCTTATTAAAGCTCATCAGCAGTGCATATCCAATGGTCCTACCGGGTTTCGAACTCCGGACATCTGACATGCGAGGCGAGCGTCTTACCACTGTTTTACCGATCAGGTGACATGATTTGTGCTACAGGTGGAGAAGAATGCCTACTGCCCTATAAACTGAATGTACCCACCAAGTTCGTTCGTTGCATCGAAAAGTACGGGTCGCTTGAAGGTCTTAAGGCGCCGGCGATGGAGCCACTCTGGTGGGATTCGTATGAACCAGTAGGACCTCCCCGTGACCGAAAATTGTCGATTCATACTCGTCTGTAATGTGTAGAATCTCTGTTCAGCATGTCCCCAAGCATGACACGTTGACATTTACCGCAACGTATTCCTACTTTTTTCCGGCAGTGATATCTTCGACGCAATGTTCCCCGTTCATCGCAACCCAGGTGATGTCATTATTCAACAAGGCGATGAAGGTGATAATTTCTACATCGTTGATCAAGGCGAAGTAGACGTGAGTACCTGTATGCCACCGACAGTTTTCCAGGTTTATATCATTTCGACATTGGTTATAGTTGGATTACCGGCTCGTATTTCGTCTGTTTGCTTCTGGTTGCTGCGCACGGAGTGTTTGTTGCGCGACTTGACGGCCATGAGAAAAAATCTGGTTCCTCAACAATTTGCTTCAGAATTGTACTGGTTTGACACTTGCCTAACCCGGTTTCCGGTCACCTCAATACGGCTACCAGGATTTCTCACTACTTGTCACCAGACCACAAGTTGTTTTCTTACTTGTCCCAACTCTTACTGGAGGCTTTGAAACTTCCTCCGTTTGTATTTTGGACCAACTGAAGCACACTCTACCTTGCCTTCTCACTGTACCCCATAATCCGTGGTTGCACTTCCCCGATGGTGCCATATGGAAACCGCATCCCTACAAAACCCTGCCTTTTGGCCCAAGATGGAAAATTTTCCCGATTTCATCATTGTTTGTATCTCGAAGAGTTACTGCGTTGAAGTTGCCGGATAGCCAGCCTTCATTTGTTAGAAACAGTCCCCGACTTCTTACTGCGAAGGTATTCAGGCAGATGGCCCAAGTGGTTAGAGGGCGAATTTACTGACCGAAAGGTTCGTAGTTCGAACCCGACCTCTGCCTGTCGACTTCCCCTGTCTAGGCTTGGACAGGCTGGCAGTATCCCAGCCCTCGTGCAACCTTCGGGTGGCATGGCAGTCAGGCACCGAAGGGGTGCTACAGTTGGACGATTTTTTTTCAGGCAGATTTATTACGCTGGTCACCACGCGTTTTCTTCCTCATTTCGCTATCTAGTTGTTCAAATTGACTAGGTTCGATTTTCGCTCGTCTTCTATTCATTTCTATGCACAATGTGTGTATCAAGGTACAGATCTGCACAACTATTGATCAGGGTTTCTGTGCACGGTCAGCTTTCGAGCACACGGATGAGATGCTTGCGAAAACCGTACTTGAAACGACGGTTTGTTGGACTGCTGCTGGTGAGCATGGTCGAAATTAACAGAAACTTCCACCTTGACGTGGTGGTCGCGCTTGAGTGACTTGCTGGCTTGCTCCATGCGGTTTAATTACGCCAGGATAGCGAATGAGGACCAGTCAGGCGAGAGGCAGCGAACCCCCAAACAATGAGTAACCGTATTACGAGTCGGTTTGGAGACGAGGTCCTGCTATCCTACACAAATGGAGTATGATTTCTTTAAAGTGTTTCGTCGAGGCGGCCAGCATCTCCATATCTGGAGGCAGTAATACTGTTTCCGTCCGAAGAAAAACGGGTGAGAAAAGATCGTCATTAAAAACGTAACTCGATCCCGATTATGTCATTGTACGGATGGTTTATCAGTTCGCTTCCTCTCAGGATCATACAGGCCAGGGCAATCGCTCATCAAAGAGGGGAAGGAAGTTATGATGTCCATTTTTTGACTGTCTACAGAAATCATCCGACTCGACTAAATGACCACCGGATTTCGTCAAGGCCAACGGAAGTCACTGTGACGCACGCGGACCCTTCAAAACATTTATAATCAGCCAAAAAAGACGGAGTGCTGCTAGACTGTA